AAGCACACCTCATTCACTTTCATCTCAACAACTACAGCGCAACCCGCCGCTCTTTTCAACGCCTCCAACAGCTGCTACTGGTAATGGAAATTACAGCAGTGCTAGTTCTACACCACATTATTATACAACTGTTAATTCTGATCAAAACAGTATCATTGCCTCAAATAGTCCACATAATGCTTATAATTCATCATATGAAAAACGCACAAGTAATATTGTCATCACGGGAAATAAGAAACCACCATCCTTTGCTAGCGGAAATAATGTCAATCGTCAAAATATAACCAACTCCATAACCTACAATAATGGTTCTACGAGTAACAAACCTGCATTGATTGCAATTAACAACGATACTCGTGGTTCACCAAATAATTCCAATAGTGGTTATCAAGGTACACGACCTCATATTATAAATAAACGGGGGGATAAACAACAGACACCACTTCTAAGTGGTCCTCCTAGTTATACTGGTAACACTATTAGTACTCATCATACCATGTCGTCAGATGCTACAACTGGCAAACCACCAATAAGATTAAATGCTGCCGCTGCTAGTTTCAGACATAAATCCAATAACTCGATCGAATATAGACGAAGTGTGTCGCAACGTAATTCACCCGGAACAAATTCCAGCAGCAACGAAAATAGCAACAACAATTCACCAAATAGCATTTCTGCCGCATCTACTACACCAATTACTAATTGCTTCGTGCCCACTTACATAGGAAACAATAGTAACAGTGCTGGTATGCATGCAGATCAACCACAAACAACTCCTACAGCTTCATTGTATATAGCTGCTCGTGGCACGAATCACATTCCGCCTCCTCTACCGCATGGTGGCACAGTTGTTGCCACCACTAGCGGTGCAGCAACTGTGTTAGGTGGTGCAATGGCACATCACCAACCGTTGCTAGGTACCTACAATCCAAATGCTGGATCAGGAATGTACGTTAAGTACGGACAAACTATTTTTGCACACGTAAGTTAAAATACAAGCATAACTGAAATAGAACAAAATAGTTTATTTACCTTTAATGTTCAGCCATCCGTAACGCTGCAAAATAGTCGCCGATCTCCATCAACCGATCTAAGGCCCCCAATGGCTCAAATGACTGGAATGTATCCGACTGTAAATATGATGATACCAGGTTAATATAGAATTCTTAAATGTAATTTAAAGCATACATTAAAGCTTATTATTTCTGTAGCACATCCACGTCATGCGCCAAGTAGACATCCAAATCCCAACTACAAAGGGACGCGGCCACGTTAAGCAACATTCAAAACAATGATGCTATACTAAAATCTAAATAAAAAATTAATTTAATATATTTACTAGTAACAGCATATAAAGCGTAGATAACAATAATTTTAAATCGCATAAGAAAACAATTCTAAGCTAAAAGGTAAAATATTACAAAAATTTATTAAAAATAATATTTTCCGGGCCATTTTACAAAGAGACAAAAAGATGAAAGTGACAAAATTATATTAATATTAGTAAACATAGAAATTTAACGACATAAACAAAAACAGGATCCACAACAGACAACTGAAAAGACATACAAAGATATATGTATGAGAAAAATAAAACAGAGAAACCACTTCTATCTTTTGTTATAACTAAAATGTATATAAACGTTTTAATTCTTCCACTTGACAATTAGGTCAGAAAAGAAAGTAAATATGTCTGTGCCATAAAAAAAACAAATAACAAACAACAAAAAACAAAACAATTAACAATAGTCAATACTTATAAACTCCTTCTGAGTTAACTTTAAAAGACACCAATAGTACATGATTAGCACATACAGTTTGTCGTTCTAAAAATATAAATATATATATTTCTTTATATATAAATATAATATATATGTATATTTACTACTATTATTCGCTAATTTATAGATATATACATACATATAATTTTATAGTATTTAAAGTGAAGTACTCTTAAGAAATCGTAATTTTATGATGTATCAAACCAAAACTAGATTTAGCATGAAACATCTCAAGAATTCATTACTAAATTATAAAAAAAAATTTATTTTGACGCTTAACTAGTCAGTCATTTTTTGAACTATATGCAAACTTCATCCCCATCTATCTATCCTCTTATATATATTATAATTTAATTTTTTCAAAAACTACAGCATTTTCAATTTTATTAATAAAATAATATTATAATTTTTGATTATCTTAAATATTTGATTTAATTTGCAAATAATTGAATTTGACTTTATCTACAAAACAAATATATTTTTATGTTTATGTTTATATAAATTATATGAAAGGACCAAACCATACTATTTGTTATCTAAATATATAAATTAATTTAAAATTTTGTTATTTGCATATAGTTCTATTATAATTTTGTTACGCGCATATATTTTTTTATTAGATATATATTTAAGTTATCGAAAAAATTTGAAATGTTAAAGATTTTGCTTTTTTTTTGTCATAATATTTGATTTTCATTAAATAAAACTTACTGAATTGTTTCTTTTATTGATTTGTCATCATTTGTTTTAAGTCACTTATACTTTTAAATTTATTATATTAAACAGTTATATTAATGTTTAAGAAGCAGCTCATAACTATATTATGTTATATAGTTTGATATTCGAAACTATGAAGAAATTTATTTAAATAAAACAAAAATTATATACTTAAATTTAAATAAAATTATTCAATCACAAATTTGTTTAAACAATTAAATATTTCAGACAACATCAATTTTATAAAAATAATAAAATAAGACATTATCTTTTATATATCATTTTTGGTATATTTTTTTTTTGATTATGATAGTTGCAAAATAAATACCTAATTATTATTTCGACCTATATTTCAATAGAATTAAATTTAACGGACCTTAAACCCGCTTAAGTAAAATTCTATATTAACAAATAACTTTAAAAATGATAATGAAAATGAATAAAATAAAATAAAAGAAAAATTAAAATAACATAATATAATAATCCAAAATGAAATAAATCAATAAAAATAAAAAATATGAAAGATTTACATAAAATAATACATAAAAAGTTCTCAAAAATATATAATATAATATAAGATAATACAATATAATGTAATATAATATAATAAAATACAATACAATTATGTAATATAATATAATGAAATATAATATAATGAAATATAATATAATATAATATAATGAAGTATCAAATTATATAATATAATGAAATAAATTATTTTATTATAATATATTTTTTTTAATACAATGAAATATAACATAATATAATAAAACATATTTTGGAATATAGCAAAATATAATATAATATTTAATAAATTATATAGTTAATATATTTTATTTTATATATTATAATATAATATATAAATTACATATTATATTATATATATTTATATATTATATATCTATATATATTATATATCTATATATATTATATATCTATATATATTATATATCTATATATATTATATATCTATATATATTTATATATATATTATATACATCACATTATATTATATATATATTATATACATCACATTATATTATATATATATTATATACATCACATTATACTATATATATATTATATACATCACATTATATTATATATATATTATATACATCACATTATATTATATATATATTATGTACATCACATTATATTATATATATATTATGTACATCACATTATATTATATATATATTATATACATCACATTATATTATATATATATTATATACATCACATTATATTATATATATATTATATATGTATATTATAAATCATTATAATAATTTAATTTTTAAAATTTGGAATTTTAATAATATAAAGTAAAGAAATGATAATTAAAAAAATATTTATATAATAGGAAGATTTTAGAAATACATCTGCATATACTATATATAACATATATATAAATCAAATGCCAGTATGCAAGAAATAGGAGTGATATAAAGTTATCTATATTATTTTCAATGAGTTATAATACTTATGGTATGATACTTTTATATATATAAAAGTAATCATAAAAAAATTGCAAATAAAAATGTATAAATAAAAAAATAAATCCTTTTAACAATATAACAATGAAGTTTAAAAAAAAAATTTTGTTTTATTTAAGTAAATACTGTTTATGGTATTCGAATAATGTCATTTTCTGATTTTCTGTTTAAAATATGTTCACAATATTTTTTGTAATTTATTTTTTTTATAGATTTTTTTATGTAAGATATTTTTGGTACGTTATTGTATTTATTTTTTATGTAAGATATTTTTAGTACGTTATTGTATTTATTTTTTTGATTTTGTAATTATTTAATTTGTTTTGCAGTTACCAATTTTTTTGGTATTTATTTATTAATTTTTCTGTTTATTTTTATGTTTTTTAATTTTTGTGTTTATTTTTTTTTTTTTTAATTTTTGTGTTTATTTTTATTTTTTTTAATTTCTGTGTTTATTTTTTTTTGTTTAATTTTTGTGTTTATTTTTTTTTTAATTTTTTTTGTATTTAGTATTTATTTTTTGTTTTTTTTTAAATTTTTTTTGTATTTTGTATTTATATTTTGTTTTTTTTTTAATTTTTTATGTATTTATTTTTTTAAATTTTTTTGTACTTTGTATTTAATTTTTTTTTTTGCATTTATTATATTTTTTTTTGGATTTTGTATTTATTTATATTTTATATTTTTTTGTTACTTGTGTGTTTTTCTGTCGTTTTTGTTTATTTATTTTTTTTGTATTTATATATTTTTTATGCATTTATTTTTTGCCTTTTTATTTAATTTTTTTTGTATTTTGTATATATATATTTTGTGTTGAATTTTTTTATATTTTATTATTTAATTTTGCGTCCTTTTATTTATTTTTTGTGTTTTGTGTATATTCACATTTTTTGAATTTATTATTTTGTTTTTGGTTCTTTTGTTTTTGGATTTTTTTCTTTTTTATTTTATTAATATTTTTGTGTTCTAATCTTTAAAATTTTTTTGTTTTGTGTTTTTTTTGTATTTTTTTATTATGTTTCTAATTTGTTACATTTTATACATTTATGTATGTATATATTTAGTTTTTTCTTTTCATCTATACATATGTAATTTGTTTTTTTTTTTTTGATATTTGTATAATTTCTTATATATTTGTAGTTTTTTTTTTGTATATTTATTTTTAGTTGCTACTTCTTTTATATTTTTTTTCTAATCCTCGTACTTTTTTGTCTAAATTAGAAATTCACGTTTTCACCTAAATAGGAATTATTATTTCTGTTTTACTAAAATATATATTCATTATACATTTTTTTCAAAAGCGTCAAATTTTGTACATTATGTATTACTCATTTTTAAAGACAATATTGATAACAAAGAAAAATATTATTTTTTTAAAAAAAATTCCATTATTCATTTATTTAATTCTTATAAAAGCTTTGAATTTTATTTTGCATTTGAATTTAATACTTTTGAAATAAGATGAATGTTCTTAATGCAATTAATTAGCTTTTTCACGTCATATCATATGTTTTGTTCATATTTTTAAATAATTCAATTTAGTAGGTTTGGTTGTATTTTTTTAATTATTTTGTATTTCAATTATTTCACATTAATATTTTTTGATCTGTTATAATCAATATTGTCTTTACTATACACCAAACAAACAATCAATCAAATGACATTAACGAAAGCAATATTTATTAAACTTTAAAAAAGTGTTCATTAGTCTTTTATTTTGCTAATCTCAGTAACAATCACTTAATCACTTTATTACGAAATCTTTAGAAAGAAAAAATATGTTAGTAATAATAGTAATTATGCCCGAATTAACGCTTAAAATTTTGTCAACTAGATTTTTAAAATACGATACAATTGAACACTTCTCTGCCTTAAGCATTACTTAATTTTTTATTTTTTTTTAAACAATTTTGTATACATTTCCTTTCATAATATTATATAAAATAATATGTATTTAAATAGTATGTATATTTAAATATAATTATATACATTTTTTATATAAATTTATATAAGAAATTATATACCTATATAACTTTAACTTTAAGTAAAGTATCATTACCGAATATGAACAAAGTGTTTAAGTATATGTGAGACTTGTGGACTTATAAACCAAATGCAAAATCCAAAAGTTGCATATAACAGTTCGTAAATATTTTTGAAATGCTTTTTATAACTGTTATACGAAATTTGAAATTTAAATGTCTAAATTACCATAACCATTGCGATAAGTCTCCTCGAAATACAGAATATTGTACAAACTTAAATGATATACTTATAGTTGAAAAATGATTCTGTTAATAAATAAATAATAAGTCTAAATGTATATACAATAATTTACATATGTAAAAAAAATTATATATTGAATAAAAATGAGTAACGGCAAGAAATATTTAACTTAAAGCATGAGAACAATTTATTTGAAAAATAAATTTATTCTTTTGCTGCAGTTCTCTTACCACCAGTAAGTAAATTAGAAAGCAAGATATAAGCTCCTTACTACGAATCTTATGAAATTTGGCCATAAACCAAAATTGAAAATAAATTAAATAAGCTATAACAGAAAACACTTTAAATAGCAAACAGGTAGTAATATAACAAAACTTCATAAGCCGAATAATGTCAATAAATAATAAGTAAGGTTATAACAGTTATAATTCAGTTATGGTATAAGATTTGAAATAGTTAATAAAAATAAACTCCATTCAGAAATACATACTTTGAAGCAAACAATAGTACATATATTTTCTTTTTTAACATATTAATTATGTATTATAAAATTACTCTAACTTTTTTACTTTTAACGCAGTAAAGCATTATAACAATTT